ATATCAGTCTTAAGTGGTTCAAATAATTTTTAATTCTATCTCGTATAATATTGACACCAATTGTTAAATATAAAGAGAACATCATAGAAATTTGTAGTAAATCTAAATATTATATAATACATGCCGACATTCACTGATAATAACTTACTATTTGGTAAAAATGATAAATGCAAATTCCTAAAACCACTGATTGATTTAAATTATTATTTAAATAAAAATCCAATATTTTAACCTAAAACACCACTGACAATATTGGCGGGACATTTGAATCCTTATAAAATACATATTCAAAATATATAGATCGTCACATAGAAAATTTTGTCTACTATTTTTTTCATTATGTTGTATCTAAATCCATTAATATTTTAAATATAAACATACATATTACATAATATTATTTCCTAAACATAATATAATTTCCTAAAAGTAATATTTGTCCTGGATTTTAATCTTTAGTCTCCTGAATTTTTAAGAAATATTGCTTGAAACTGCATTTTTGCAATTATTTTATAAAACTAGTGGTATATGGCATTGTGCCTTGAGGCAAATTTCTGGAACTTCCCCTACTGAATTAATTTTTATTTTCTTTTTCCAAAAACAATTGTTTCGTCAACACAAGCAAAAAGTTTTTTGAATCATTTAAATTAGATGCTCATTTCTTTCAAAAACAACCATTTAGCTCGGTATTTTCGAAACTGCTGGTCCCTGCCTATGCAAAAATCTAATCACAACTTCTCCCAATCATTACGAATTAAATGTTTTTTGAATCGTTCAAATCGCTGCACAGAATTTTTTTAGACTCGGAATATTTTGAGACTATCCAGAATATTTTGAGACTGTCAACAACTTTTTTAGACTGCCTAAAAGTTTTCATATCGTCAGAATTTTTTTCAGACTGCCCAGAATTTTTTTTAGACTGCCCAGAACTTTTATTTAGACTGCCCAGAACTTTTATTTAGACTGCCCAGAACTTTTATTTAGACTGCCCAGAACTTTTATTTAGACTGACCAGAACTTTTATTTAGACTGCCCAGAATTTTTTTAGACTGCCCAGAATATTTTTCAGACTGCCCAGAATATTTTCAGACTGCCCAGAATATTTTTCAGACTGCCCAGAATATTTTTCAGACTGCCCAGAATATTTTTCGGACTGCCCAGAATATTTTTCAGACTGCCCAGAATATTTTTCAGACTGCCCAGAATATTTTTCAGACTGCCCAGAGAATTTTTTTTAGACTGCCCCCAGAATTTTTATTTAGACTGCCCCCAGAATTTTTATTTAGACTGCCCAGAATATTTTTTAGACTGCCCAGAATATTTTTTAGACTGCCCAGAATATTTTTTAGACTGCCCAGAATTTTTATTTAGACTGCCCAGAACTTTTATTTAGACTGCCCATAATTTTTTAGACTGCCCATAATTTTTTTAGACTGCCCAGAATTTTTTTAGACTGCCCAGAATTTTTTTAGACTGCCCAGAATTTTTTTAGACTGCCCAGAATTTTCTTAGACTGCCCAGAATTTTCTTAGACTGCCCAGAATTTTCTTAGACTGCCCAGAATTTTCTTAGACTGCCCAGAATTTTCTTAGACTGCCCAGAATTTTCTTAGACTGCCCAGAATTTTCTTAGACTGCCCAGAATTTTCTAGACTGCCCAGAATTTTCTTAGACTGCCCAGAATTTTCTTAGACTGCCAGAATTTTCTTAGACTGCCCAGAATTTTCTTAGACTGCCCAGAATTTTCTTAGACTGCCCAGAATTTTCTTAGACTGCCAGAATTTTCTTAGACTGCCCAGAATTTTCTTAGACTGCCCAGAATTTTCTTAGACTGCCCAGAATTTTCTTAGACTGCCCAGAATTTTCTTAGACTGCCCAGAATTTTCTTAGACTGCCCAGAATTTTCTTAGACTGCCCAGAATTTTCTTAGACTGCCCAGAATTTTCTTAGACTGCCCAGAATTTTCTTAGACTGCCCAGAATTTTCTTAGACTGCCCAGAATTTTCTTAGACTGCCCAGAATTTTCTTAGACTGCCCAGAATTTTCTTAGACTGCCCAGAATTTTCTTAGACTGCCCAGAATTTTCTTAGACTGCCCAGAATTTTCTTAGACTGCCCAGAATTTTCTTAGACTGCCCAGAATTTTCTTAGACTGCCCAGAATTTTCTTAGACTGCCCAGAACTTTTATTTAGACTGCCCAGAACTTTTATTTAGACTGCCCAGAACTTTTATTTAGACTGCCCAGAACTTTTATTTAGACTGCCCAGAACTTTTATTTAGACTGCCCAGAACTTTTATTTAGACTGCCCAGAACTTTTATTTAGACTGCCCAGAACTTTTATTTAGACTGCCCAGAATTTATATTTAGACTGCCCAGAATTTTTTTTAGACTGCCCAGAATTTTTTAGACTTCCCAGAATTTTTTAGACTTCCCAGAATTTTTTTTAGGCCGCCCAGAATATTTTTTAGGCCGCCCACAACTTTTTTAGACTGCCCAGAATTTTTTTTAGACTGCCCAGAACTTTATTAGATTATCGGATACTCCGTTGTCTCAAAAACTCGATTTCTATTTTCTGCACTCTTTGCTCCGCGTCTCCGTAACGGCTGGACCTGCCTTTGCCAAAAACTTATAAGCACATCTCCCTATCAATAGGAATCGAATGGGAAATGAATCATTTAATCGGTTGAGCGGTACTTCCGAAAACGTCGACGAAAAATTGTATCTAAACATAATAGGTTGTCAAATATCTCCCTTCCGCCTTTTTGTATTATAAACCAAGAGCAAAAAAGCGGAAGGGAGATATTTGACAACCTAATACATACATACACACACACATCCATTTTTCTAAAGTATGCCAAAATGTTTAGAAACCTCTGAAATGTGAAGATATGTAAAAATTGTTGGCCCATTTCTATAACTTACCCTACGGAAAGTTAAAAAGTTACAAAAAAATTAAAGTTAAACATTTTAAATCACGGTACGGGAAGTTCCAGCAATTTGCCTTAAGGCACGATACCATGCATAACTAGTTTTCTTTTCATGTCTCAATAGTTTTTCACCCTTTTTCCTTTCCTCCTCAGTGGTCTGACAGCAATATCAACATACTTCCTAACAAAAGAGCTCTGGTCAGCCGGTGCTGGTCTATTCGCAGCCTGTTTCATAGCAATCGTACCAGGCTACATAAGTCGATCGGTTGCCGGTTCTTACGACAACGAAGGAATCGCCATATTCGCTCTACAATTCACCTACTTTTTATGGATAAAATCGGTAAAAACCGGCTCCGTGTTCTGGGCAACTGCAGCAGCCCTCGTGTACTTCTACATGGTCAGCGCATGGGGCGGTTATGTATTTATAATCAATCTGGTGCCTCTGCACGTGTTTACGTTGCTCTTGATGGGACGATACTCTCCGAGATTGTTTACGAGTTACACAACGTTTTATATACTAGGACTTTTATTTTCGATGCAAATTCCGTTCGTCGGTTTCCAACCGATCAGGACCAGTGAACACATGGCTGCTTCAGGAGTCTTCCTGCTACTGATTGCAGTTGCTGCTTTAAAATACACGCAAACGATGCTCTCCAAGGCCGAGTTCCAAAAACTGTTTTTAGTCGGAGGCTTCACAGCGGCCGTTGTTGTGTTTTTGGGGGTCGTGGCGCTCACTTTGTTGGGTGTAGTTGCGCCTTGGAGTGGAAGATTTTATTCTTTGTGGGATACAGGATATGCTAAGATTCATATTCCGATTATCGCAAGTGTTTCGGAACATCAGCCCACGACCTGGTTTTCGTTCTGTTTCGATCTGCACATCCTGGTGTATACGTTCCCTGTTGGACTGTGGTACTGCGTGAAGAATATTAATGACGAACGTGTATTTGGTAAGTAGTAAAATCGTAGACATTACACTACATGGACTGATAGTCCTCATTAGGGTGGTCCTTAAAATAGTCATTTTCGAATTTCCTTGCTCCCAGGGGCTCAACTGGTTCTACATATATAAAAAACAATTCTCTGAAAATTTTAGCTCTTAATATTAACGTTTAGATAGAGCGCAATTCAATCAAAGTTTGCATGGAAAGAGTAACGGAAAACATTTTGAAAATTTAAAAAAAATGTTTTAGGTATAACTTAGCGACAAATGAATGAGTTTTATTCATTTTTGAAAAAAATTCTATGGTATTTCCTTACAAAACTTTGATTGAATTGCGCTCTATCTAAACGTTAATATTAAGAGCTAAAACTTTCAGAGAATTGTTTTTTATCTATTTGGAACCATTTGAGCCCCTGGGAGCAAGGAAATTCGAAAATGACCATTTTAAGGACCACCCTAGTCCTCATATGTTTTCCGTTGTATATAGTCAGACGTCACATGTCTGAGCGAACGTTGCCGACGACAATCGCGGTTTTCTCTCGATTTATCAAATATAACATGTCCTATGTTACGTGCCTAAAGTCCGGTCCATACGATGCCAGGTTTCCTGATTAGTGCATGCCGGACAATTTGTTACCTAGATAAATCATAATTTACGATCCAAAACGGCACAAAATTATTTTAATCATAAAATAAGTAAATATCTGGCGCAAAATTCTTGCTCACCTTGCCAGACAACTTGACAAAAATCCTGTTACAAGAAATACTGGCGTCGTGTGCACCGGGCTTTAGATATATATATATATATATATATATATATTAACAAAGTCTAATAATCGGGCATAACATCAATAAAAAACATGAATTTCTTTCAAAAATTTATTTTAAATCCATACGTTTCGGCTATAATCCTAGCCTTCATTCAGTGGAAACTAAAAATAAAATTAAAAACTAAAACAATTGAATTGGAGTGAAAAGAAAAAATAAAAAAGTAAATAGTACTTACAATTAGTTAATCTTAGTGTTAAATTGGAAAATTTTAATAATCCATGGTATTAGGATATGGTAATGCACTACACTATGTATTATAAACATTAACTTGAAAAATATATAATATATAATATATATATATAATATATATATATATTAGGGTGGTCATTTTCGAATTTTCTTGCTCCCAGGGGATATACCATAGAAAATTTTTCAAAAATGAATAGAAATCATTCATTTGTCGCTAAGTTATACCTTTTTTTTTTAATTTTCAAAATTTTTTCCATGTTCTTTCCATACGAAGTTTGATTGAATTGCGCTCTATCTAAACGTTAATATTAAGAGCTAAAACTTTCAGAGAATTGTTTTTTATCAATTTGGAACCATTTGAGCCCCTGGGAGCGAGGAAATTCGAAAATGACCATTTTAAGGACCACCCAAATATAGTTTGACAAAAAATCACGTGAGGGAGGTATCGAGTAAAATATCACTTGAATTTATTTTTTACCTGAATTTTCAAAAATAAAAAAATAAATCTTTCTATCGTAAATTCGAAAAACTCGTTAATTATATGCCGAGATTTTTCGATATTGATTTTGATATTCTATTCTAAAAACCATTTTTCGAGACTAGATAAATAATTTTGTAACTGGCAAGTTGCTGTTGTAATATCAGAATTGCATGAAATTATATCTATGTCATCGGCGTAAATGCATATTGTTAGAAGATTATCTGTGGGCATATCGCTTGTAAAAAGGAGATATAGTTCTGGGCTTAGCACACTGCCCTGTGGTACACCGAATTCTATATTTCTAATGCTCGAAGTCACATCTTTAATTTTGATTCTAAATTTTCTATTAAGCAAATATGAGCTTAAGATATCGAAGTAGTTTGGAGGAAAATTTTACGTAACTAAAAATGCACATGATGTTTGGAGAGAGGGGGGTGGTTTAATTCTAAATTATAAAAGGATGTCAAATATCTCCCTTCCGCCTTTTTGTATTATAAACCAAGAGCAAAAAAGCGGAAGGGAGATATTTGACAACATAACATCAAAAGGTATCCTCGAGAGGGTCTAAAAATGCACAAAATTATTATTAATCATAAAATAAGTGAAAATCTGGCGCAAAATTCTTTTGCTCACCTTGACAGAAATCTTGTTGCAAGAAATACTGGCTTTGTGTGCACCGGGCTTAACATAGACTCATATAATATATAAACCGATTTTAACAGGCGGATTCGCGTTTATGTACATTTATTTCACAGGGAAAATATTACTAATATCATTTCTTACAAAATTAACAGTCCATGCAATTGTCATTATATTAGGTTGTCAAATATCTCCCTTCCGCTTTTTTGCTCTTGGTTTATAAAACAAAAAGGCGGAAGGGAGATATTTGACAACCTATTATTATTGAAATAAAACATACGACATATGTCATTTAATCAATCGGGAGAGTCCGCGATTGTCGTCGGCAACGTTCGCTCAGACATGTGATGTCGCACAGTCACTTCTATGTTTGATCACTTATTTTGTTCTAGCAGTTCATGTAGTGTAAGGTCTATGAGTAAAATACAAAATGCATTTTATTAAATTATTTCTAATCATTTTATTTTTTCAGTTGTTCTCTATGCTTTGAGTGCTGTGTATTTTGCCGGTGTCATGGTTCGTTTGATGTTAACTCTGACACCTGTTGTCTGCGTGCTGTCGGGAATAGCATTCTCATGTCTGCTGGACTTGTACTTAAGGGAAGATGAATCGACTGGGTCTTCTACCGATGTTAATGATAGCGAAGGCGACGATGGAAATAGTTCTACTAAATATGATAAGGTGAGATAGTTTTAGTCAACTCGTATTTTATTTCTTTAAAGATTGTTTATTTTATTAACAATTCGTGATTGATTTTCGATTTTTAGAACTAAATTAAGTTGGGAAATGATTGATTTCTTTTCAACCAACATAATTTATAACTTTTTCTACATTCAAAACACTTGCGCTTTTTAGACGTTTTGCAATATTGTTAGGTTATCCAGAACATTTTTGGACAACCGAGAACATTTTGAGACTATTTAAAATATATTTAGACTATATAGAATATTTTGAGACTGTACAGAAGTTTTTTAGACTGTCTAAAGGTTTTTCATATTGTCCAGACCATTTTTAAAATGTTCAGAACTTTTTCAGACCGTCCAGAACTTTTACAGACCATCCAGAACCTTTTCAAACTGTCCAGAACTTTTACAGACCATCCAGAACCTTTTCAGGCATGAGAACATTTTTGGACTATCCTGAACATTTTTGGACTACCCAGAACATTTTAGGATTACCCAGAACATTTTTAGACTATCCAAAACATTTTAGAATTATCCAAAACATTTTTTAATTTTCCATAATGTTTTTGTACTATCCAGAACATTTTTGGACTGTCCAGAACATTTTATGACTGCCTAGAACATTTTTAGACTGCACAGATCATTTTTTGGACTATTCAGAATATATTTTGACTATCTAGAATATTTGGAGACTGTCCAGAACTTTTTTTAGACTATCTAAAAGTTTTTATAATCATTCAGACTATTTTTAGAATGTCCGGAACTTTGTCAGACGGTCCAGAATACATTTCTAATTTATCTAGAATATTTTTTGGTTGTTCAGACCATTTTTAGGTTGTTGAGAACGTTTTTTAGTCTGTCCAGAACCATTTCAGATCGCCCAGAACGTTTTTCATATTGTCCAAACCATTTTTAGACGGTGCAGAACGTTTTTAGACTATCCAGAACTTTTTCAGACTGCCTAGAGCATTTTTAAACCGTCCAGAACATTTTTACACCGTCCACAATTTTTTGTAGACTCTTTAGAACATTTTCAGTCTTCCTAAGCGCTTTTTGAGGCTTCCAAAGAACATTTTGATACTTTCTTGGAAGATTTGAGACTTTCTGAGAACATTTTGAGATTTTCTAAGAACGTTTTAATAATTTCGAAGAATTTATTGAGATTTTTTAAGAACATTTTAAGATTTTGAGACTTTGTAAGAAAGCGTTAAAAACATTTTCATACTGCCGAGAATTATTTTGAGGCTTTCTAAGGACATTTTGAGACTTTCTTAGAACATTTTGAGACTTACTTGGAACATTTTGAGACTGCTGAGAATTTTTTTAGACTATTTAGAACATAATGAGACTTTCTAAGAACATTTTGAGACTTTGTTGGAACATTTTGAGATTTTCTTAGAACATTTTGAGATTTTCTGGGAACATTTTAAGACTTTCTTGGAACATTTTTAGACTTTTTGAGAACATTTTGAGACTCTAAGAACATTTTCAGATTTTCTAAGAGCATTTTGAACTCTAAGAACATGTTGAGATTTTCTTAGAACATTTTAAGACTTTCTTGGAACATTTTGAGACTTTTTGAGAACGTTTTGAGACTCTAAGAATATTTTCAGATGTTCTATGAACATTTTGAGGCTTTCTAAGAACATTTTGAGGCTTTCTGAGTACATTTTCAGATTTTCTGAGATTGTTTTGAGACTCTAGGAACATTTTCAGATTTTCTAAGAACATTTTGAGGCTTTCTAAGAACACTTTGAGACTTTCTAAGAATATGTTGTGACTCTAAGAATATTTTTAGGTTTTCTGAGAATGTTTTGAGACTCTAAGAACATTTTGATACTCTAAAAACATTTTGATACTTTAAGAACATTTTGAGACTCTAATAACATTTTGAGACTTTCTAAGAATAAGTTGAGACTTTCTAAGATCATTTTGAGACTCTAAGAACACTTTGTGACTTTCTAAGAATAAGTTGAGACTCTAAGAACATTTTGAGACTTTAAGAACATTTTTAGACTTTAAGAACATTTTGATATTTTCTAAGAACACTTTGGGAATATCTAACACATATCAGGACTATTTAGAATATTTTTAGAATATGTAGAATATTTTGATATTGAATATCTATATCTTGAATATTCAGAACATTTTCAGGAGTATTTAGAACATACTCAGGACTATTTAGAACATTTAGGGAATGCCTAGAACATTTTCAGACTACCTAAATATTTTTAGACTGTTCAGAACATATTCAGGCAATTATTGCATGATAACTTTCATATCGTATATGTATTTCATATGCATATTTAATAGATAAATTGTTTTTCCCATTAGATGTTGAATTCAATCTTATTGGAAGTCACATTAGAAGTTTCTGAGAATATTTAGATACTTTCTAACAACATTTTGATACCATCTAAGAATACTTTCGGAATGTATAAAACACTTTGAAAATACCTGGGACATTTCAGGACTGAAAATACTCTAATTTTAGAATATGTAGAACATTTTCAGGAATATTCACATTTTGAGACTATTTAGAACATTTTGGGAATAGAAGTTTCACTTTGTTAAACATTACTTTTATAATCCCCCTTTTGATATATATCAGACATTTAACGCAACAATTTTTTAATTGAGTTAGAAGCATAACTTCAAAAAATGCTTAAATTATGTATATGTATATTTTTTACATAAAATATATTTTTCTTTCCCAGGCCGGTAAATTACGAAAGTTACGACACGAACAAACCCACGAAGCAGGAGCCGCAGGACACGGTTCCGGCTTAGGAGCAAACATGCGCAGTATTGTGATAATTATAATGATGATGTTACTGATGATGTTTGCCGTACATTGCACCTGGGTCACAGGAAACGCCTATTCGAGCCCATCCATCGTCCTGGCATCCTACAGCGGAGACGGGTAAGTCGACAAATCATTATAAAACACAAAAAAACAAACCAAAATTTGCATTCTTTATGGAGAATTATGACAAACGGCTCAAAATCTACGCATATCACTTTCACGCTGCGTACTGATACATGCCTTACAATTAAGTTAAATGGACAGGAAATCCCGGTAAAAGATAGCGTAAAATATCTCGGAATTAGAGATGGGTAACTCACTCCGGAGTTATCACTCTGATACAACTCCTCCCTCGGAGTGAATCCGAGTGGAGTTGTTTCACAGGATTTGTCATATCCGACTTCCTTAAACTGGTATTAAATCTGTTAACTCGTACAGGCATTTAGTGTTTTTGTCATTTTTGATTTGGGAAGGAAACGGTCACTTTCTTGTCTCGCAGGCAATTTTATGACCTTTTTTAGGTATAAAAGTCAAAACAAATACCATTGTGTATTTTGCAGAAAATACAAAAATGTTACTTTAAAGATACAGAACAATGAAATTGAATTCAAGTGTATAATTTATTGAATAGTAAGGGGTCATATTTCTAACTACGACAATCTTTGGACGTAAATGACGGCAAGAATATACATACAGAAAAATATACAAAACGAAATACATTTATTTAATCTTGCTTTTCCATAGCCTAAAATAACAACACTTTAGAGTACAAAATTTATCAGTGATATCATTAGTATTTAAGCAGTAAAAAATATTCAGTATTATATTATTACTTTTACACAATTATATAATTGTGTAAAAGTAATAATATGCTAATCGAACTACGCGATATAATATTAATTCTCAAATGGAAATAGCAGAAGAAAAATTTTGAAAGCAGAAGTATTATGTTTTGCTTTTATTACAAAGTTTACTACATAATTTTTATATAAAATTAATCCAAAAAATCAATTATTTTCTCATCAAAAGGAAATCATTAAATTGAATTTGATTCTCAAGTTTTGCGTTTTTATTTTGGTCAACATTGCTAAAAGTACGAGTCACTTTTTGATGGTTTCTGAACATTTTGGCATACCTCAGAAAAAATTGATGTGTGTGTGTGTGTGTGTGTATGTATGTATGTACGGATACAAATTTCCAGTCACGTTTCCGGGCGCACGGATCAACCGATTTGATTGGTTCAAAAATCATTCGATTCCTATTGATTGGAAAAAGAGCTGATTAGTTTTTGGCAAAGGCAGGTCCAGCCGTTTCGGAGATACGGAGCAAAGAATGCAGAAAATAGAAATCGACTTTTTGAGAGAACGGAGTATCCGATTTGAATGATCTAAAAAACATTCAATAATATTATAAATATATTCAATAATAATTATTGGGAGAAGTGTTTATTAGTTTTTGGCAAAAGCAGGCCCAGCCATTTCGAAGATACGGAGCTAAATATGTAAAAAATGGCAGTTTTTGAGAGAACTATGCGTCCGATTTAAATGATTCAAAGAACTTTCTGCTTGTCTTAACAAATTAATTGATTTTGGGAAAAAAAATTTTGTTCCAACTTTTTTTTTTTTTAATTTTTTGTATATCGAAAATATTTCAGATTTTATTTTTAATTCTGACTATAGTTCTAATATACTTTAAACAAATAATTTCAACTTTGCAATTCAGTTTATATAATTCTTATAAATGTTAGACAATGTCACAATATTTATTTAATTTCTATCTATTTGAAAACATTCAGTATTCCTCGAACATTTTGTTACGGTACGGGAAGTTCCAGCAATTTGCCTTAAGGCACGATGCCATAATTGCCTCAAGACAGAATTCCACTTACAGCTAGTTATTATTATTATTATTATTTTAATTATTATTATCTTACTATTTCTATTATTGTTATTTTGTTATATTTTATTATTTTTCTAGTATTATTTTATTATTCAGAAATTTTATTTATATTATTTATTAATTTTATGTTTATTATTATTTGCTTCTATTTTACATTAAATCATATTACGGATATTATTTTCATGTAAATTCTATCCTTTGCTCTTTTATTTATTTAAATTTATGTTATCATTTATCAATATTACTTGATGTTAATAATTTAACAGTTGTAATACTTATTGAAATTAAAAAACCAAAACTTACATTATCCTGTGTCTTTTACCTAGTACCAGGCAGATCCTGGACGATTTCCGCGAAGCCTACTACTGGTTGTCCCAAAACACGGCAGACGATGCTCGTGTCATGTCCTGGTGGGATTACGGTTACCAGATAGCGGGAATGGCCAATCGGACGACCCTGGTGGATAATAATACGTGGAATAATAGTCATATAGCCCTGGTGGGTAAAGCCATGTCCAGCAAGGAGGAAGATGCCTATGAAATCATGACCAGTTTGGATGTCGATTATGTTCTGGTTATTTTTGGAGGAGTCATCGGTTATTCGGGGGATGATATTAATAAGTTTTTGTGGATGGTCAGGATTGCAGAGGGGGAGCATCCTAAGGATATAAAGGTGATAATTGATAATGAATGATTTTATTTTTGTTTTTAATTTTTTAACTGCCAAAGCAGAAGTTTGTTTTTGCAAAAACTTGAGATTTGGTAATTTTATGTTTTCTCCTTGATGTTTCAAGTAATTACTGATTTGGAGAATGTATATGTGATTTTTAACTTTAAGAACATTTTGAGATCTTGAGAACATTTTGGGACTCTAAAAACATTTTAAGACATTCTAAGAACATTTTCTGATTTTCCAAAAACATTTTGAGGCTCTAAGAACATTTTTAGATTTTCATAAGAACATTTTCAGATTTTCTAAGAACATTTTTAGATTTTCTAAGAACATTTCGAGACTCTAAGAATATTTTTAGATTTTTTAAAAACATTTTGAGACTCTAAGAACATTTTTAGATTTTATAAGCATATTTTTAGATTGTATAAGAAAATTTTGGTACTTTCTAAGAATAGTTTGAAACTCTAAAAACATTTTTAGATTTTATAAGAACGTTTTTAGATTTTATAAGAACATTCTCAGATTTTATAAGAACATTTTGAGACTCTAAGAACATTTTAGATTTTCTAAGAACATTTTGAGACTCTAAGAATATCTTCAGATTTTCTAAAAACATTTTCTGATTTTCTAAGAACATTTTTAGATATTATAAGAACATTTTGAGAATTTCTAGAAACATTTTGAGACTATCTGAGAACATTTTGAGACTTTCTAAGAACATTTCAAAAACTCTAAGAACATTTTGAGACTTTAAGAACATTTTGAGACTTTAAGAACATTTTGAGACTCTAAGAACATTTTGAGACTTTCTAAGAACATTTTGAGACTCTAAGAACATTTTCAGATTTTATAAGAACATTTTGAGACTTTCTAAGAACATTTTCAGATTTTATAAGAACATTTTGAGACTATCCAAAACATTTTTGTCTTGCCGAAAACATTTTGCGACTTTTTAAGAACGTTTTTAGACTTTCTAAGATCATTTAATATTTTGAGACTTTTCTATGAACATTTTGGGACTTTCTAAGAACATTTTGAGACTTTCTAAAGACATTTGAGACTTTCTAAGAACATTTTGAGACTCTAAGAACATTTTTAGGTTTTCTAGAAACATTTTCAGATTTTCTAGTTACATTTTGAGACTCTAAGAACATTTTTAGATTTTATAAGAACATTTTGAGACTTTCTAAGAACATTTTGAGACTCTCTAAGAACATTTCGAGACTCTAAGAACATTTCTAGATTTTATAAGAATATTTTTAGATTTTATAAGAACATTTTGAGAGTTTCTAGGAACATTTTGAGACTTTCTAAGAACATTTCAAGACTCCAAGAACATTTTTAGATTTTACAAGAACATTTTGAGACTTCTAAGGAACATTTGGAAACTTTCTAGGAACATTTTGACACTATCTAAGAACATTTCGGGACTCTAAGAACATTTCGAGACTCTAAGAACATTTTCAGATTTTCTAGAAACATTTTCAGATTTTCTAGGAACATTTTGAGACTTTCTAGGAACATTTTGAGACTTTCTAGGAACATTTTGAGACTTTTTAAGAACATTTCGAAACTTTAAGAACATTTTCAGGTTTTCTAAAAACATTTTGAGGCTCTAAGAACATTTTTAGATTTTATAAGAACATTTTGAGACTATCTAAGAACATTTTTAGATTTTATAAGAACATTTTGTGACTTTCAAAGAACATTTTCAGACTCTAAGAACATATTTAGACTTTCTAAGAAAACTATTAGGACGTCGACGTTTTCTCAAAAACTGCTGGACCAATTACAAAATAATAGACTGATCTAATTTAACTATTTTGTGTTCAGAAATTTGAAAATTTCAGGTTTTATTTCTGCTAAAAAAAACCTTTCAAATGATACCCCACATGCTATAAAACATGCCAACTAAAATTTTTGAGGTAAAACTTCTTTAGGCTCATTTGCTACAAATTTGAAAAATGTGTATATTTTCTGTACAGAGCACATAGTTAATGATAGTATTTGCTACCAAAGGTACATCTTATATATTTTTGAAAAATCTATAAATTTTAACCTTCCAATATTTTTTGCAATAATAAATATTTGTGTTTACGTTTTTATTGCAATATCAATCATTTTATCATTGATAAAATCGTTTTCTACTCGTCGAGACCTTTTAAACGATACCCAACATGCCAAGAAAAAACACTATTAAAATTTTTGAAGTAAAACTTCTTTAAGCTCGTATACTACAAATTCATTAAAAGTGTATAAACCACATAGTTAAATTCAGTATTCGGATTCTACTAAAATTTACCTTTCAAATGATACCCTACAGCAATAAAAGATACAATCTATATTTTATCGAAGTAAAACTTCTTCAAGCTGGTTTACTACAAATTCATTAAAAGTGGATAAACCACATAGTTAATTTCAGTATTCGGATTCTACTAAAAAGAACCTTTCAAATGATACCCCACATGCTATAACAAACACAAACTAAAAAAATTGAAGTAAAACTTCTTTAAGCTCCTTTACTACAATTTCATTTAAAGTGCTAATTTTGTTGACAAACCATATAGTTAATATAAGTATTTGGATTCTATTCAAAAGGACCTTTCAAATGATACCTCACATGCCATAACAAATTTGATATAAAATTTTTTAAGTAAAACTTCTTTAAGTTCGTATGCTACAAATTCATTTAAAGTGCATTCATTCATTTTGACAAACGATATAGTTAATGTAAATATTTGGATTATACTAAAAAGGACCTTTCAAATGAAACCCAACAAGCCGAAAAAAACACAATTTAAATTTTTGAAGTAAAACTTCTTTGAGCTCGTATACTACAAATTCATTCAAAGTACATATTTTGTTGACAAACCATATAATTAATTGAAGTATTTGGGTTCTACTAAAAAGGATCTTTCAAACGATACCCAACAAGCCAAAATAAAACACTATTAAAAATTTTGAAGTAAAACTTCTTTAAGCTCGTACACTACAAATACGTTAAAAGTGCTTAATATAAGACATCAAGTGGAAATTATATTATTTTTTAGTAAATTGCTGTTTGCATTTTTTTTACTGTGTCTATTATCCTTTTAGGAAAGTGACTACTTCACCGACCGCGGCGAGTTCCGTGTGGACGCCGGCGGAGCGCCCGCCCTTCTGAATTCCCTAATGTACAAACTGAGTTACTATCGTTTCGGAGACTTCAGACTAGATTATAGGGGTCCATCGGGCTTCGACAGGACACGGAATGTAGTTATCGGAAATAAAGATTTCGAACTCAAGTATCTGGAGGAGGCCTACACGACTGAACACTGGCTGGTCAGGGTGTACAGAGTCAAGAAGCCCGATGAGTTCAACAGGCCTAGGATCGAACAGGCTAATAGGGTCGTCAAGACGAAACAGCTGGTTTCGAAAAAGGTAGGGGGAAAGGATTTTTTGGTACAATATTGGTTGTAAGATTCAATTGGTCTGAGGGAAAGAAAATATTTAGAAAACAGAAAAGATATAATACATGGAAGAAGTGAAAGTTTCTAATGGAGCGTCCACAAATTACGTGATCCATTTCTTAGGGATTTTTGAGCCCCTTGAGGATATGTTGTGATATTTAGAATTACACCTCCCCACTTCTCCTAAAAAACGTAACATGCATTTTTAGTTACGGTAAATTTTCTGAACGAGTTTTTCGAATTTACGAAAAAACGTTTTTTTTTTTTGAAAATTTAGGTAAAAAATAAATACTACGTGGTACCCCACACGTGATTTTACCCCTACCCCTCCTTACCTCCCCCACGTGATTTTTTGTCAAACTATATATATATTTCTAAATTATCTAAATATTAACATTTGCATAAAATATTAACATTTGCATAAAATCTACAATATTTTCAGACAATTTGCATCATTTTCAGATAGTTTATAATATTTTCAGACAGTTTGTAATATTTTCAGACATTTTACAATATTTTCACACAATTTGCAACATTTTTAGCAGTTTACAACATTTTCAGGCAGTTTCAAACATTTTCAGGCTTTATGATGACATTTTAAGACAGTCTGCATCATTGTAGGACAGTTTGCAATATTTTCAGACAATTTGCAACATTTTCAGGTAGCTTACCACTTTTGTAGGCAGTTTGTAACATTTTCAGACAGTTTTTTAACATTTTCATACAGTTTTTAACATTTCCAGACAATTTGTAACATTTTCAGATAATTTAAAACCTTTTTAGGCTTTATGACGACATTTTAAGACAATCTGCAATATTTTCAGACAATTTGCAACATTTTCAAACAGTTTACAACATTTTCGGACAATTTAAAACATTTTCAAGCAGTTTACATCATTTTCAGACAATTTAAAACATTTTCAGGCTTTATGACTACATTTTAAGGCAATTAGCATCATTTTCAGACAGTTTACAATATTTTCAGACAATTTGTAACATTTTCATACAGCTTGTAACATTTTCAGACAGCTTGTAATATTTTCAGACAATTTGCAACTTTTTCAGACAATCTGCAACATTTTGAGGTAGTCTATAATATTTTTCGACAATTTAGGGCATTTTCAGGCTTAGGGTCGACATTTTGAACAATCTACAGCATTTTCAGACAGTTTACATTGTATTTAGACATTTTTTCAACATTTTTAGTTTATCTGCAATATGTCTAGATAGTTTACGACATTTTCAGAGATTTTTAGGACTTCAGATCGACATTTTAAGACAGTTTACAGCTTTTCAGACAATGTACAACATTTTTTAGACAATTTGCAACATTTTCAGGTAGCTTACAA